GGATTGTTGTGATGTATGCATTACAATACTTAGTAATAGCTACCATTTATATGGTACATTAAGGCTTGCAAAGTTTTAGAAATATGATCTCGTTTGATCCTCACGACCCCAGGAGATAGGTACTATTATTATCCTCATTTTACAGATGAGGAAACTGAGGCAGACAGAGTTTAAGTGACACGCCCAGGTTCACACAGTAAGTGCCTGAGGCCTCCTTTGCTCTTTGGTTTATCTAAGTGCTGAATGTAAAATGCTAGGGTAAGGTGCTGGATAAATCTACTTTCTGCTTCCTAATTTTTGCTACAGTTCTTGTCTAAAAGGGAGTCCTTCCTCCCCCTCCCCACTTATGTTATTGGGTTAGCAAACATTGAGCTACTGTTTTTTATTATTTCTGGGTCTTTCTTATCTAGACTATTCTACTGATCAGTACATTTCTTTTCTTTTTTTAAAAATCAGTACCAAATACTTTTGATGACTACTGCTTTATAATGCAGTTTGAGATCTGGCATCCTTTCATTCATGCTTCCCCTCATTATTTCTCTTGAGATTCTAGACCTTCTGTTCCTACAAATGAATTTGTTGTTGTTTTTGTTTTATTGTTGTTTTTGTTTGTTGTTTTGTTTTGTGTTATTTTGTTTGTTGTTATTGTTATTGTTTTAGAAAAAAATAATATCCAAATATCCCCCTGCAATTTAATTGTTATAGCACTAAATTTGTAAATCAATTTGGTAGTATCGCTATTTTTTTATTTTGCACTGTCATATCGTAAACTGACTATTTGTCATCTTTTATTTATGTAGATAGTATTTCATAGTTGTGTTTATATAAATATCGCATGTGTCTAGATTGACTTCTAGATAGTTTGTATAGACTAACTCCCAGATACTTTACATATTTTGTATTTATTTTGAATCGAATGCTTCTCATTAGCATTTACTTCTGGTTAGTTCTACATAGAAATGCTGATGACTTTGTGAATTTATTTTTTAGCCTTCTACTTTGCTGAAGCTATTTAGCATCTCAATTAGTTGCTTTGCTGATTCTCTGGGATCTTCTCAGTACACCACCATGACTCCTGCAAATACACATAATTTTGTCTCCTCTTTGCTAAATGTTTATATCTTTAATTTATTTGCTATATATATAAATATAAATATACAAACATATATTATATATATAATAAATTTATGTAAATATAATAAATAAAATAAATATTTATATAAATAATAAATATATATAAATATATTTGCTATAGCCAGAATTTCTAGGATGTCAAATAATGAGCTACAATCAGGTAGTGAAATTCTCCAAATTAAATCATCAACAAACATTCTGACAGTTGGAGACTTCAATGCAAACGTGGGAAACAATGGGAATGGCAAGAAATATATGGAAAAGTCAGGTTCAGAAAAAAGGAATGAGAGAGTCCAAAGACTTGTAGATGACACAGAAGCCTCATGCTTTTATATTATGAACACTTCTCTTGAGAAAAGAATTGGTATGGGTTGAACATAACAAGCACCAAATAACACTACAAGAGAAAAAAGAAAGAAAAGAAACTGATTACATTTTGACAGAAACCAAACAACTTGTTATTGTTGTGGGAGTTAATCCCTGAGTCAAGTTATCAATGTAAAGTCAGACGACCAACTTGTCAGGGCAAAGATCAAAATTAGGTGGGTTTTTTTGTTTGTTTGTTTGTTTGTTTTTGGGGGCTAGGCAATGGGGTTAAGTGACTTGCCCAGGGTCACATAGCTAGTGCTCGTTATGTGTCTGAGGTCGGATTTGAACTCAGGTCCTCCTGACTCCAGGGCCAGTGCTCTATACACTGCAAAATTAGTTTAAAAAAAAAAGAAAGAAAGAAAAATAACGAAAGAAAGGTATGGTGTACAATTGAAGCAAGTTAATCCTGAACTATTTACACAAGTAATCAGCAATGAGACATTGGAAATGGGCTTTAGAAGTCCAGCTGCTGCAAATTTATTGCCACAAGACCCAAAAAAGCTCAGAAAGTGTTTAAATCAGCAAACATGCGACTTGGTTGTAAGGAGGAGAGAGATGGCAGCTAAGGATACTAGATAGAACAGAAACGCTTTTACAAAATCTTTTTTTAAGGATGATGGGCAGTCATGAATAGTATCATCTCATAATGCAGTGAAAAGCAGTGGAAGGTAAAGTAAGTTTAGGGAAAGCCTGGCAAGAGATCTAACTAAGAACACTCACCCCATACAGAAGGATGAATGTGCTAATCATGCCAGACGTTGTCTTCGCCAGACCACATCAACAGCATTGTGTTTAGCTCTGAGTATCACACTTTATAAGGGATATTGACAAGACCTGGGTGGGGAAGGGACTAGAAGATGCACCGGATGAGGATCAGTTGATTTAAGTGGGAATGCTTAGCCTGGAGAAGAGAAGACTTAAGGTAGATATTATAGAAGTCTTCGAGTATCTGAAAGGTTATTGTGTGAAAAAGGGATTAAACTTGCTCCAGAAAATAGAACTAGGACAAATTGGGTGTGGGGGGGGAGATTTTAAAGAAACAGGTTTCTTTTGGCAGTCGGGGTTAAGTGACTTGCCCAGGGTCACACAGAAGTCTGAGGCCAAATTCGAACTCAGGTCCTCCTGACTGCAGGGCCAGCGTTCTCTATCCATTGTGCCACCTAGCTTCCCCCAGCAGTTTTCAACATAAGGAAAACTTTAAAACTATGGCTGTCCGAAGATGAGTTCCCCATTACTGAAGGTCTCCAAATGGAGAATATATTGTATTGTACCTCATGTCGGGGACTAGGTGGTCTTCGGGGTCCTGTCTAACATTGTGAGTCTGCTACCCACTGCCACCCCATAGTGGTTCATCACCAAGTCAGTGTGGACTGAAATCCGAAGCCCTTCCAGTCAGCTTGGAACATGCATCAGTGGCAAATCATGTAGACCCTTTGGTTTCCCTGCTTTAATTTCTGAAGCCAGTACACTTCCAACCAAAGACGGAGGATCAATGTCTTATTTCAGAAACTGGAGTTTAGGTCTAATGGTCAAACCACTTGCTCACCAGCCCTCCGACAAAGAAACTGCGTAGCCTGGGCATTCTGTAGACTCCTACCCAGTCCCAGTTGGAAATGGTTGGGGATATTGTGCAGCAATAGCAATGGCATGTGTTTTCCTAAGGCCATTTATCCTCCCTACACATACCAGTTTTCTAGCTCTGCAGCTTTCTCAAGCTTATTCCCACAGAATCTAGGCATTGGGAGGGACTTCAAGCCCCATCTAGTCTGATCTGTACCTCAACAAGATGCCCCTCCACAACAACCACCAAAAGTGGTACTAGAGGGTTCCAAACTTGCTTGACCCACCACCCCCTTTTCAAAAAAATTACTCAGCACCCCCCTGGGGTTATGTTAGGTTAATCCTTATTTTTATTCAACGCCCCCCAATTGCACCAGAGACTACTACTGCCCCGTTGGACTGTTTGAGCGCCCCCTAGTGGGAGGTACCACTGTCTCGTGAGGCTGCCTCTTTGGGATGACCATTATAGTCAGTATTCCATATGTTATGTGGACTTGTAACAAATGACTGCATGTTAAGTGTTTGTAAAACATCACGACTATACAAGTTTAACTTATGAGTGAAATTATTTAGTTTCACTCATAAAATGTTCCATCATAATGAAGCCAACATTTGAGAGAAATGATCATCTTCTGTTGGTGAAGAGGTCAAGTTGGGCTGATATCTTAAGAAACTATAAGAAATAACAAAAAATGAAAGATGTTTGGGTAGTGTGCTCTACTGGTATTATATCCATGTCAGGAGAAAATGAGGAAGCCCTCTAGCTTGTTGGATGGATCCCCTGTGGGGAACTTGAGGGAAGGTACTAATGCTCATCACTTGGGTTGGGAAAGCCTGGCTGGGATGTGACCTGCATACTGCAAGGACTGTTGAAATCAATGAGATCATAGACCCATTGGAGTCAGAAACGATACTCATGTATTATCACATCTGTGTATACATCTTATCCTCCTACTAAACTGTAAGGTCCCAACAGACAGAAATCACGTCTCACCTGAACTCTGTATTCTTCCAATGTCCGATGCAATGCTCTGCACACAGAAGGACTTAAAAGGGAGTTGGCTTTGAAATGTTTGGTGGATTGAACTCATCTCCCAAAAAGGTCCATTTATTTGTTCTAGTTGTAACAGACCTCTGGGCATATCTCGGGACCTTCCGTTTTCACCTCATGTAACCATTTTGACCACATGCAATCAATTCCAAACATAGTCATGTCCACAATACCAGAGGAAGAGTAACATTCATGATACTGGACCTTTCGCAAGTAAAGAGTAAAGCTAAAAACATTTGTTGTAGGCTCTAGGACTTCCTTCCAGAAGAAATAGCACTATTCTAATTTTTAAAAATTCAAAGACAATAAGTTGAGGGGCTCCTACACCATTTCCCCCTTATCCCAGTGTTGCATAGTGGCAGGAGTCCTAGATCGGGAGTCAGAAGACCTGGGTTCAAATCCCAGTTCTGCTACATACTAGCCATGTTATATCGTGCCTTCCTGAAATTCAGTTTCTTCATCTATATAATGTAGCAAATGTGTGAATTGATAAGCCCTAAAATCCCTTCCCCTGGGCAGCTAGGTGGTGCAGTAGATAGAATGCTGGGCCTGGAGTCAGGATGAACCATCTTCCTGAGTTCGAATCTGGCCTGAGACACTTACTAGTTGTGTGATGTTGGGTACGTCACTTTAACCCTGTTTGCCTCAGTTTCCTTATCTGTAAAATGAGCTGGAGAAGGAAATGGGAAGCCACTCCAGTATCTTTGCCAAGAAAAGTCCAAGTGGGTCACAAAGAGTCAGACACGACTGAAATGAATGAACAACAAAAAAAATCTCTTCCAGCTACATAACATTCTGGGACTCAATGATCTTTTGCACAGGGTAAGCTATGTTTCACGGCACACTAGGGTGGGCTTTTCAACTCTCTGGGATGATTGATACATACTTGGTGATGAAGCTCACTGTTGTCCTTGTCCGTCCCATTAGACATGGTCAAAATCCATTGTTGCATCATATGAAACACATTAGTTTGGACTACCCTGATGGAAACATCAAGTAAATTTTAGAGAAGTGACTCGACTCTGAAAATATATAGCTAAGCATGAGCTAAAAGCTGAACAGTTTGTTTGACCAGGTCTGTATAATTCCAAGCAGAGTGATGAGTTGACTCTTTTCTTGTGACTTTAGGCCACATAGACCAAAATCTTGAGTTGCTTGGTCTGGTCACTCACACCCTATCCAATCACTAGACAGCCACCAGCAGTTGTCAGTGCTTCACTTTGACCTATATAGATCTATCTTTTTAATGTTGGTTATCTACTATAAGAAGTATCTTCCTTATACACAACCATTTTTAATCTAATGTATTACTTTCTAAATAAAAACTGAGGAGATGATACAGAAAATCTCCACAAAATGAAAACTCCTAAATCTGGCACCAAACGCATTCCATTCTGTCTTACCTTACTGGAGTCTTATTCCCATTCTAGCAAAACTATACTACTCCCCCATTTCCTACTGTAAAGGGGTTCAGGCAAGTTCTCCAATCACCTTGATGAGCTCATAGGTTGGTGAACCATTGTTTGGGACCTTCAACTGTCCATGATTCTACGTATGGAGTATGGAGGTAACCACCTGCACCTTGGTAAGACAACAACAAATAACTTCCATTTAAGTCCCAGTGATTGGGGCTGCTCTGAGATAAATTCCTTGACCCAGACTCTTGAGAGGATGGACTCTGTTGGCAAGAGCCACCCACTGTGCTGCATATAATGAAAATGGGCAAACCATTTTTGGCATTTTTCAGAAAGATCCTCCATGGAGCTAAGAGCAGACCTAAGTACTAGGTCTTTGGGGCGGGGGGAGGGGGGGAGTTGAGTAAGGGGCAGGAGGGGCTGTGCATGTACATACACAGTTCCATCCCCTAACCCCAGGAGCTATTAATGGCTGCCTTAGGAGCAGATATACATGCAAACTGAATGTGCTCTCCCATAGCATTCTAAGCACAGGAAACTACCTGTGAATGCAATTTTCTAGACCAAGAGATGGCAACAGCTGGAACAATGGCGGGGCATCCTGGAAAAGCACATGGAAACTGTATGTGTTCGCCCACTACTGAGAGACTTCATGGACAATGTTCCTGAATCAAAACCCCTTTTGTGTGCTGGGGGAGGGAGGGAGTAGATTTTGCTTTCCTGGGTAGTATTATTCTTAAATCTAGACTTTTGGTTAGAGAAGACAGATTTATTGGAGATTGCCTCAAGCGTAACCATAAGGTCAAGAGTTCAGAGATCTAGCCTTCTTAGAAATAAAAGTGGAAGTTCCTGAGCAATGTGTTCCTGATCACCCAATAAGAGGTTCAAATCATGATGTGGGAGAGCAGAATATCAGTACTTCACTCTCTATATTTGCCATTAGTTATTTGGACAATGGTGGTCATATGGGAAGGTGGGTGCCTTCCCCTAGCACCAAAGTGTGCTTCCATTCTGAGAGGAAACCACATTTAAAACCACAACGTTCACTATGAGTGTGTAAAGACTGGGTAGGACCCTATGGGAGAAAGAGAGAGATCTACCAAAACATCAGTTTACCCCAACGGAAATCCTAAGGTAAGTCGCCTCCTGAGGGAGGTAGAAATAGGATGCTGTTGAGTCTGGAAGTTCCTATTGAGAAATGGAACCCAAATGGAGATAAGGATAATTGTTCTTGGTTGTTTAAGGGCTATTGAGAATCTGTCTATTGTTTATGGGCTTCTTTGAGTCCTTTACATCTTATTTTTGTGCGAGATAAAATAAAGGCTATCCTGTGTCTGATATGCATTTTTTTCTTTGAGTACTTATATAGGAGCTGGGCTGCTGATTACTCACATTTGTGAAAGCTCTATTCAGAGATTTCCAAGAGTAAACTCTAGATGAGGCTATAACCAGCCAAAGAGAAAAACTGACTTTTTAAGGAAACTCCCAAGATGATATTCAGTTCACGTGAGCCCAGATTTTGGTTGAATGCTGGGTCATGGATTAAATAGCCCTTTGCTTAAGCTTTGCCCTAAGCTTGGAATGTCCTCCCCTTCTCCCATCTTTACTAACTGAAATTCTACCTGTATCCCAGGGCCCTGCTCAACTGCTAGTTCCTCTAGGAAGCTTATCTTGATCTATTTCCAACACTCAGGAATGACTCTTTCCCCTTGGAATTTGTACAATACTTGCTTTGTACCTCTTTAAACACTTACCATGTTATTCCTTAAATATTTATCATATGTTATTTCACATTCTAGTTCTTTGTGTACATGTTGTCTCCTCACAGTAGAATGTAAGGGCATGAACTCTTTTTGATTTTTCTTTATATCTCCAGGATTTAACATAGTCCCTGGACCATGGTAAGTATTTAAGAAATGTTTGTTAAGTTATTGTTTTGTATTTATGTCATGACCCCTTAGTAAACTATAAGCTCCATGAAAGCAGAGACTATCTTGTTCAATTGTTGAACCTCCTCAGTACCTAGCTCAGTATCTGCCCACGGTGGGCTCTTAATTAATGTTTATTGAAACTGTTTAAGTTGAAGGCAGAATTAAGGCAAAAGAGTTTTCACTTACGGGACATAATTACTCCTTATCTGCTCTTCAGTCAATGGGATAACACCAATAATGCCTAACATCCCATCCAGTAACTGGAGTAATTCAGGAATTCTCCCATAAAGCGCCCTCCAGTCCCCCTGAGTCATTGAAGAAATTGGGTGGTTACTTTCCATCTTGTGTATCCACATTTCAAAAGCAGAATTTAAGCTTAGAAAAAACTTGTTATAACCTAAGAATAAAGATAGAAAAAAGCATTAAGTGGGATTGTTAGAATTTTTCTCCACAATAAAAAAATGGGTTTTTATAAAGCATGTGGATGATTTAATACTAAATAATCCTTTTTGCACTGCTTAGCCATTTGGTAATTTCTCAATACATCAGTTTTTAGTCTGATTTCTTTGAATTCTTAGCTAAGAACCAGATACAATGAGTCATTGCCAATTATGTTACTTCATACTCAAATACTCAAAATGATCTTTGATCTGTTAAAATCTCTCCAATGATGCAGATTGCAATTTCTCCATGACTGCCCATTCTATGCAACTCTGGTCCATATCCTTCCATAAATTCACTCCATCAGGTTCACCCACCGTGCTATGGTCCTTCTTCACTTTCTCCTGACATCACAAGAATACTAGCGAAGCACACGGACTGCCCACCAGTTAATGGTCATACTCAACCCCTGACCAGTCCATCTTCTTCAGTCATACATTTTCAGGATGACATCATTTACTCTGATTTTTGCTCATGGTTAATTTGTTATGTATTTCAGCCTACTTACACCTATTATCATGTCTTTTTCCATCATCCTTTGAGTGATACTCATTTTTAATTCTTTGAAGACTCAAGAATTCCCATGACTCAACCATAAAGTAATACTGCTAGAATGCTGGTATTTTTTAAATGCACCTTTTTTCAAGGAGAAGTTTGGGGTCATGAAGGAAGTTTGCAATTTGCCAAAGGGCAATACAGCCTCATGTATCTACAATTTAATTTTGGGCCCAACTTCCCCATTTGCGATGCCTGTTTGGTTGGTGGCTGTTCTTTATTCTCAAAGAGGACCCAAATGACATCACTATGCTAGAGTCACGTTTTAGTGTGTTTGACTGTGGCTGATCAGACCAAGATGAGCTTAGAATGCTCTTCCACAGATAGGGCACCAATAGTCCATGTGAACATTTGGGGTGGATTCTCTAAATGTGCGCACCTTGCATTTCCTTTGAGCCATTTCAATTCTGCTTTGCTTATAGAACACAGCATCTTCTCTGATGAGGGCGTGCCATGCTGAGCTGTCCTGTGCCAGTGTCTCCTATGTCACACAATCAATTCCAGAATTCTTAAGAGAGACCTTGAGAGTGTCCCTGTATCACCTCTTCTGACCACCATGTGAACGCTTGCCCTGTGTGAGTTCTCCATAAAACAGTCTTTCAAGCAAGCATACATTTTGCATTTGAACAACGTGGCCAGCCCATAGGAGTTGCACTCTCTGAAGTAGAGTTTGAATGTTTGGCAGTTTAGTTCAAAAAAGGACCTCAGTGTCTGGTATCTTATCCTGCCAGTGATCTTCGGAATCTTCCTAAAACAATTCAAATGGAAGCAATTCAGTTTCTGGTATACTGTCCAGGTTTCACAGGCATACAGCAATGAAGTCAGCAAAATGGCTCTATAGACCTTCAATTTGGTAGTCATTCTAATACCTCTTCTCCCTCATACTTTCCTTCAGAGCCTTCCAAACACTGAGCTAGCTCCAGCAATGCATGCATAAACTTCATTATCAATGTGTACATTCCTGGAAAGTACACACTACCAAGGTAAGTGAACTTATATATACAAATGTGTAAGTATGTATATGTTACATTATATATATGTGTGTGTATGTACATATACATATACATATACATATACATATACATATACATATACATATACATATACATATACATATACATATACATATACATATACATATACATATACATATACATATACATATACATATACATATACATATATTATATGATGAGTTCTATAAGTTGTTCATCAAACTGCCTTGTCATAATCTGGATAATAGGTGGCATCCTCCATTCATCGGGGTTTTTCTGTGTGAATAGTTAGGTCAGACTCTGTTGAGTGGTTTCAGATTTCTTCCAGGAGATGCCACAAGTTCTAGGGCTTGAAAATAACCAGCATAAGGTCATGTGCAAACAGGAACATCTGGAGGATCTCACTCTTGAGATAGAATCTCTCTTAAGAGAGGGGCTAGGGGGCAAAATGGATAGAGCACCGGCCCCGAAGTCAGGAGGACCTGAGTTCAAATTTGGCCTCAGACCAAACACTTGACACCTACTAGCTGTGTGACCCTGGGCAAGTCATTTAACCCCAATTGCCTAAAAATAATTTTAAAAATTTTTTAAAAAGATAGAATCGCTCTTCAATTTAGACTCTGCACTGGAAGTCATCCTTATAACAATGGCAAACATCTTTGGTGAGCATATGTCACTCAGCTTTGTAAATCACTTGATGTTAACAATCAGAGGGTCATTAGCCAACTTATTTGTTATACCTTTCAAGGAATCTTGAATAGTTTTGGTGTATGTTATGTATGGCAGGCACCTTGTTGGAAAACAGCTTTTCAGAAGCATTTTGTTCCACCAAATCATGTGCTTTTCTTTTTTGTATAATCAATAAACTATAAGCAGAATAGGATCTTGTATTTGCTAATTCTTTTAGTCAATAGCATGACAATAAAATGGTGATCTGCTGTGGATCCTTGTTCATGAAAGCCTGCTTGTTTCTTACTGATACTCTCATTAAAGATACTCTTGCTACATGATCTTCATAAAAACTGTATATTGATGTAAAAGTAACCAAATGGATGGGTGGGTGTTGCTGCCCTCTTGTTGACTTCTCAGTATTGATAAGGTCTAATTTTTTTCCTCACATCTCTAGTATCTTCCTCTTCTTCCTACATCTTGTGAATCTAATCTTTAGTGCTCTCAAATACTTCCAGCACAAATCTCCTCTATGTAAACTTGGTATAATTTAGCTGCATTTTCTTTTTGGTTCTCTTCAGTGCCAATTTTTCATCATCTATAAACATATCTGGGACTATAAAATGAGGCTCTAATGATCCTTGATGGTGAAAAGAGCATGTAATAATAAAAAAAAAAAACCTTTGCAGATCTTTTCCATTTTCTTCTCTCTGTTATCCTTGCATTTTCACCTGTAATACTCCCACCCAGGCAAAGTGGATGAAGTATCTGCCCCTTATCCAGATACAGAGCATCTTACTCAGCATTCTCTTAGCCAATTAAAAGTCATGCCTCTCCTTCATGAAGCACACGGCTTTCCCTGCGCCCACCTCACCCAGGTAGGAGATGGTGTTACACATCCTTAAGTTCCCAAGGGATGATTTTGCTTAATTGGATCTCTAAGCTTTCTTTAAACTGATTTTACCCTGCACTACTTCTTTTATGAGGCCACACTACTAATTTTGATCTTTGCTCCAACAAATCAGTGGACTAGTCATGCAAGCAGATTTAGGAATGGCTGCCACATCAGTAAAACAAGCTATTCATTTCCTGTCTGTAAAAATATTGAATCAATATCATTTTGTATTGTTATTTGGTGGTTGATTTGTCCAACATCCCTGGATTATTTTCTTAAAGAAGATATTCATTACCAAGGGAACAAATTAAAATAAATGCTAGGGAAGGTGTCCTATCCATACCAGATCTTAAATTGTATCATAAAGCCACAATCACCAAAACTATTGGGTACTGGCTAAGAAATGGGGGGGGGTGTTCAATGGAATAGGTTAGGTACACAAGACACAGTAGTCAATGACTACAGTAATCTACTATTTGATAAACCCAAAGCTTCTGGGATAAGAACTCACTATTTAACAAAAACTGCTGGGAAAACTGGAAAATAGCATGGCAGAAACCAGGCATAGACCAACATCTTACAGCATATACCAAAATAAAGTCAAAATGGGTACATGATTTAGATATAAAGGTTGATACTATAAGCAAACTGGGAGAGCAAGGAATAGTTTACCTGTCAGATTTATGGAGAATGGAAGAATTTACAACCAAACAAGAGATAGAGAACATTATGAAATGCAAAATGGATAATTTTGATCACATTAAATTGAAAAGGTTTTTGCACAAACAAAGCCAATGCAACCAAGATTAGGAGGGAAGCAGAAAATTGGTAAAAAAATTTTTACAACCACTGTCTTTGATAAAGGCCTCATTTCTAAAAATATAGAGAACTAAGTCAATTTTATAAGAATACAAATCATTCCCCAATTGATAAATGGTCAAAGGATATGAACAGGCAGTTTTCAGAAGAAGAAATTAAAGCTATCTATAGTCATATGAAAAAATGCTCTAAATCTATTAATTAGAGAAATGCAAATCAAGAAGACTCTGAGGTACCTATCAGACTGGCCAACATGACAAAACAGGAAAATAATAAATGTTGGAGAAGATGTGGGAAAATTGGAACACTTGTTGGTGAAGTTGTGAAATGATCCAGCCATTTTGGAGAGCAATTTGGAACTATGTCCACAGGGCTATAAAAATGTGCATACCATTTGACCCAACAATACCACTTCTAGGGCTGTATCCCAAAGAGATCATAAAAATGAGAAAAGGACCCATGTGTACAAAAATATTTATAACATCTTTTTCTGTGGTGGCAAAGAATTGGAAATTGAGGGGATGCCCATCAATTGGGGAATGGCTAAACAAGCTGTGGTATATGAATGTAATGGAATACTATTATGCTATAAGAAATGATGAGCAGGCAGACTTCAGGAAAACCTGGAAAGACTTGTATGGATTGATACAGAGCGAAGTGAGTGGAACCAGTAGAACATTGTACGTTGACTTTGATGGATTTAGCTCTTCTCAGCAATGCAAGGATCTAAGACATCTCCTAAAGACTCATGATAGAAAGTGCTATCCACATCCAGAGAAAGAACTATGGAGTCTGAATGCAGATTAAAGCATACTATTTGCTCTTTTTTTTTCTTGTGTTCTGTTTTGTTTCTTCTTTCTTGTGGTTCTTCCTATTCTAATTCTTCTTTACAACATAATTAATGTGAAAATATGTTTAATAAGAATGTATATGTAGAGTTTATATCAGATTCTACACCATCTTAGAGAGGGAGTAAGGAAAGAAGAGGGAGAAAATTTAAAACTCAAAAGCTTATAAAAGTGA